GTATATATATTTTAAAATTTTTATGCCCGAATGAGTTTTAATTCCTTTGACGGTTGCTTTTGGCTTTGGCAGCTGGCGTGCCTAAAAGGCTGCTACAACAATTTTTATACATGCATATGCAGCTTCTTCTCTATGGGTGTGTGAGTGTGTGTGTGTGTGTGTGTGTGTTTGTATCTTTGATTGCTTATTGTTAATTTGTATTTGTATATTGGTCGCCTGTATGTGTGCGCTCTGAGATGTTCGCTGATTAAACCCTTTTTTACCCTGCTACATATGAATGAATGTGGCAATCACACACACAGACACATACACACAAATCGAGAGAGAGAGAGAGAGAGAGAGCGAGAGCATCTTAATTCCTTTTGGCGTTTTATGCATCGACCCAAGCAATTCGCCCACCTGCTGCCACATCAACGTCTTTTGCCTTCGAGTGTTTGTTATTGTTGTTTTTTGCTGTTGTCTTGTGCTTTGTGTGGATGTGTGTGCGTGTGTGTATTGACTGCTTTGTCAATTGTTTGGAGCTGCTGGCAGACTGACTGCCAGCCTGCCTGCCTGTCGTCGCGCTGGCTGCCTGGCAATTTTGTTAATTACAAATCGTTTGCTTTTAGCTCTATGCTAATGTCTCTGCCTGGGACACCAACCCCCAACCCCTACCACATGTGTGTGTGTGTTTGCCTCTGTGTGTGTGTCTATTTTTGCATAACTTACGCAACTTTTTACAATTCTGACAGCTGCCCCCAGCCCCCAGCCCCCAGCTCAAGCCCCAAAGCAGGAATATAAAAACGCACACACAAGGGTTGTTGTTCTATTATATTTTATATATCTTTATATTACATATGCATATGTGTATACACAGCTATAGACTATCAGCTAAATATCGCTGTCTATTTTGCATACAACATGCATTTCTTTGCTAGCTGGGGGGAGTTGGTCTAGGCAACAAACCAACGCCAATTAACACACACACTCACACACACACAGAGAGAGAGGCAACCGTAACTGTCAGTCAATGTCCAACAGTCTCTTACCTAAATATTCAACTATTCCCATTGTTGGAAAAATGTAAATTTTCATAATTTTATAGTCAATAGGGCCCCCCCACCCACAATTGCCAAACATTCATCTCATAGTTTTTGTTTGATTGTTGTAGTCGAGTCAAATCGGCCGCCCACCGGCCCCACCCTTACCCCACAGGCTGCTGGCATCCCAGTCAGCCGCAAGAGGCAAAAGCCGCAAAAGGCAGCCAACGGGAATCGGACAGGCAAAAGTTTTCTGACGCAAAGGGTTGCAAATGATTTTTGAGTTGTGTCGAAAATCCCCAAAAAGTTGATTTATCGTTTTAATAATTCCTCAAACAACAGAGCGAACGCAGCTCGCCGAATATAGTAGTATATGCTGAAGTGGAATCAAATCGAAAAATGACAAAAATGTCTAGATATGCACCCATCTCTCTATTAATGTTAACTGGCTGGCGGCGTTGCCAAATTTCAGCGTGCGCTGTTGCCAAATTTCGAGCATACTGTAGTTTTAAGGCGATTGTATATGGCAAGCAGTTGATTATTAATGAACTCGCATGTGTCTGTCTGTGTGTGTGTGCGTGTGTGTGTGTGCTTGTGTTTGTGTAAGACACAACAAGACAGACACACACACACACACACACACACGCACAACCCTTGGCATACCCGTACACTTGCGCCGCATGCTAATTGCGTTTATTTAACAAAACAAATTTTTTACTTTTCCCACTTTGAGAAGGTTTTTGACATGGGAGCCTGGGGTGACGGGGGGGTGGCGCTGCGACTCAATTGAGTTGGCAATTAGACGCCAGCCAGAAGGGATTTTTTGTTTTTGAATAGGTCTATATGGGGGTATACAACATTTTTATGCAATTAATTTGAGTCGTCGTCGTCGTCGTCGTCGTTGTTTTTGTCGTCCTCGCCTGTCGTCTTGTCATGTGCTACTTCTTCTTCTTCTTCTTCTTCTTGTTCTTGTTCTTGTTCTTGTTCTCCTTTTTAACTGGGGGAGTTGTTGTCCTTAGCAGCTACTCACATGTCTCGTATGCTAATGAAAAATCGAACACGCAACCCCAGCCCAGCCCAGCCCAGAGGACAGAGGGGGACTGCCTTTTGATTGATAATGAAATTAACTGCTTAGCATTTCGAGGCATGACATGGGCCCAACAACACAAGCAGAAGCCAAAGCAGAAGCAGCTAACGAAGAAGAAGAAGCAGCAGCTAATAGGGACACATGTTTCTATGCATGCATACATCTACATACATGCATATATATTTATAGATATTTCATGCTGATGCGTTTTTAATGCCAATTATATATTATTGCATACGTGTATGCGYAGTCAACCGTGCGCCAATAATAATAATCATAATCTGGCCCATTTCGGTTTGTTTATTGATAAAATAGATGCACACACACACATGCAAGCGCATATGTGTGTGTGTGTTTATGTATATTAAGCAAAAGTTTAACTCAATCAACTTTGCTGTCATATGGGGCTCAACGATCAAAATTAACGTGGCTCACAAATAACGCAATGACACGCAAATTACCAATTGGCATTCGCCTGATTTGCGTCCTGTTTGGCGGTACAGTTGCCAGCAAAAGTCGCTACACAAAGTTGTCCACACTCTATGTGTGCGTGTGTGTGTGTCTGTGTTGACAGTATGCCTTTGGCATATGCGTCAATTAAAAACCGCGCCATTAAATTAATTTTAATCACATAATAAGAAATACACACACACGCACACACACACACATATGCACGCATACAAGCCACCTGGCTGTCATTAAAAAATTTTGTTGCATACCACCAGGCGCAAAACTTTATCTTGTCAACTTTGTTGCGGCGCCACGCCTCCTGCTGCCAGCGTGCCTCCCTCACAGATTCATTCCGCACACGTCTCGCTCACGTTGACGCACTTAAGAAAAATTCCCTTGTCAAATTTGCCAATTATCATATTTTCATCAAACAAACAAAGTTCCAAAAACTCAAACGCTCGCCGGAGGCACACAGCCTGCCATGCCCCCCCCCCCCCCCCACCTCCTGCCACACGCAGCATGCATTGTGCTTGTACCTTAGCCCCTGCTACACCTGTGGCTGTATCTGTGGCCTGTTCGCTTGAGTCGCAGGCAATCAGCGACGTCGTCGTCGTTGTTAATTTTATTAAAAATTATTTTATAACTCTCGAACTTTTCCACGCACACACGACAGACTGCGATGCGATGCGATGCGAGGCGATGCGATGCGACGCGACTTTCCTCTGTGTAAAAGTCTCCGCCTGACTTGCTCGCATTGCTGTTGTTGTTGTTTAATTATTGATGTGTGCAATTACAAAAATACAAGCAGATAGCGAGAGAAGGAGAGAGAGACAAAGAGAGAGACGGAGTGGAAAGGCCTTGCAACCGCAGCAGCCACAATGGCAGAGTTGCCACAGAATATGCAACCAAAAAGTTTGCAGCTCTCACATGCGCCAAGGCTCAAATATTCATCAACTGCTGATTGTAAGCGCAACCAAAACAATTCACAAAATTAACAACAGTCTGTTCGCTGTTTACAAATAAAAAAAAAAACAAAAAATAAAAAAACATGATAAAAAGTCAGTTTTGATTGAAAATGGCTGATGAGACCACGCAAAGCAGAGCAAATGCAAGACATGCTCTCTCTCTTTCTCTCTCTCTCTCTCTCTCTCTCTCTCTCTCTCGTTCATTATGCCTCTCTGTCTATTACCCACTCACTCTGTCTCTCTCATATCATATCACTTTATTTACGCTGGAAAACTATATGTATATAAAATATACCAAATCTTATATGAAATATACTAAATACAATTTTTTTTAAATATTTCCCTTTTTACCTCATCTCAATTACAATACTAATTATTGCATTTTTTCCATCGATTTCAGATTAAAGCACTTTTGGATGAGTTGCAACGCCTGCGCGCCCTGGAACAAACTCACCTGGTACAAATCCAGAGGCTCGAAGAGCACCTGGAGGTGAAGCGACAGCACATAATGCGCCTGGAGGCCCGCTTGGATAAGCAGCAGATAAACGAGGCGCTGGCCGAGGCAACGGCATTGGCTGCCGCTGTGAATGCTGCTGCGACAAACAACAATAATAGCAACAGCAGCAACAACAATAACAACAACAACAACAACAACAATCACAGCAGCCAGAGCAGCGACAACAACAATGTCGTATTCAAGACAACTGATCTAACATCGACCCATCGACACAACGACGATGATGACGATGACGATGACAATGATCGTGATAATGAGCTGCGCGACGCCGATGGCGATGATGATGACGACCTGCATCTGACCAATAGCGAGCAACAGCAGCAGCAGCCGCAACATTCAGCTTTACTCAACAATCGCCACGACGATGAGCAGGACAAGGAGGATGGCGAGGAGCATGATGCAGAAATAGCGAATGCCACAGCCGCAGCGGACAGCAATGAGCTGAAAATCAAAAAGGAGCAGCAGTAAGTATTTGCATTGGCATGGCAAGCGAAGCTGTTCCATTGCCAGTTCATACCTGGACAGTCATTGCTTTAGTCTGTGCCACTTCCAGCTTGTTCTCTTCAGACTGAAATGTAAAATTGAAAAAGTTCATTGATTGGCTAACTCGTGTTTCATTTCCATTTCGTTCCCTCGACATTAAACTAAAGGCGACGTGTCTTTATTTTATTTATAAACAAACTTTCTCCACTTTAAAATCATAGCCAACACTCAAAGGCTTCAAGCTGTTTCATTGCCATTTCGTTTCTGTGACACGTGAGGAATATAGCCGCCTCTCACTTAACTAACAGATCAATTCTACTCTCAAATTATAAATAATATCACGTGTTTCAATTCCATTTCGTTCCTGTGGCACGTGAGGAATATAGCCGTTTCTCACTTAACTAACAGATCTATTTTACTTTCAAATCATAAATAATATCACGTGTTTCATTTCCATTTCGTTCCTTCGAAACCCAACGTATTTCGTTAACATTCACTTTGATAACAAATAATTCAGATTTACTTTCAAAAACCCAACTGACCCGCAATTGCTTTTCCACGTCTCATTTCCATTCCGTTCTCATTGCAGCAGTCCACTGGACCTGAATGTGCTCAGTCCACAGTCGGCGATTGCCACAGCCGCCGCGGCCGCAGCAGCCGCTGCCTGTGCCAACGATCCCAACAAATTCCAAGCCCTGCTACTGGAGCGGACCAAGGCCTTGGCCGCCGAGGCGCTCAAGAACGGCAGCACCGATGCCGTCAGCGATGGTGAGTATGCATGCAGTGCAGCTGTATCTGCTGCAGCCCGACGTCGCGTCGTTTCGTTTCGTTTCCATGTCGCGTGGCGCTGTTGATGTGCAACGCTTTGATTTCTTCCGCCTGTGGAGCGGCGCCCAGGAGGGCAGTTTAATGAACTGTTCCACTACTATTGGTGGAACCATCACAGTCCCTTCCGTTCCCCTCCGTTCCGTTATGTTACATTATGTTACCAGCTTATCGGCGCCAACAGAAACGAGGCGCCAATTTTTATGGCTGTCAACAAGCGTCAACGCAGCGACGATCGCGATTTTCTCCTTCTACGACTTTTCTTACTCTGCTTTTTATTGTATTATTATTATTTTTGATTTACAATATTTGCATCAGAACGTCTGCGAATGTTGTCATTGTTGTTGTTGTTGTTGTCGTTGTTATAGTCGTTGTTGTTGTTGATGTTGTTTTATACACTTTGAGTTGCTCTGCATGTTTATCGATCATGTCTACATACACACATACATACACACACACACACACACACACACACCCACATTGAGGCCAAGCGAAACAGTTGACAATCATCATTATTATTATTCTTATTACAATTATTATTATTGTTATTATTATCGACAACAACACGGTTCAATGCTATCGCTCTGTGTCTATCTCCCCTCTCTCTCGCTCTCTCTCTCTCTCTCTCTTTCTCTCTATCCCGCTGTCTATCTCACTCACTCAGTCTCTGTCGTGCTACATATATATTTATATATACAAATCCATATGCATATTTATATTTATGAGTCTCTATTTACAACAATTACACACACACACACACACACAGTTTCTTTGTTGTTTTGTTGTTCGAATTGGCAAGCGAAAAGTGCGAATTGTTGGCAAACAATACGAAAAAAAATATATAAAAATTATATGAAACAAATTGAAAGAAATCAAAAATATACAAATTTTGATTAATTTTTGGCGTTTTGTTCCATGGATGTTGTTAAAATCAGTATATACCAAACAAATATACCAAATACTACTAAATACCAAAAAAAAACAAAAAAAAAGAAAAACAAATATTTTATGATAGATCATTGCAAATAAGTAGCAGCAACAAAAGGCACAACTTTTTTGTTGTTTCCCGCAGAAATGCCGCAACAACAACAAGCCGTAGACGTAGCAACAGCAACAGCTGTAGAAGAAGATGCAGCAACAGCAGCCGCAGCAGCAGAAGTAGCAGCAGCAGCAGCAGCAGCAGCAGCAACCGCAGCAGCAGCAGCAGCAGCAGTTGCCAAGCCAGATTTAAACAAAACTGGAACGAATGAGAATGAGACATTGGTCGAGGCCAATTTGCAGCCGAAAATCGAAATCTTAGACACAGACGAGGTAATAGCCGAGGCTGCAGCTCCAGCTCAAACGCTAGAAGAGCAGCTGGTCAATAGCTATTGGAGGCGTGGCTTTGAAACGAGCACAGCTGCAGCAGCAACTGCAGCAACAGCAACTGCAGCACCAGCAGCAGCAGCAATAACAGCTGCAGTTGCAACTGGGAGCAAAACGCCAACAATTTATCAAAATGCCAATGTGGTGCAGCAGCAATTGTTGCCTCCACCGCCACCGCCACTGCCGCAGCCCCAGCAACAACAACAACAACAACAACAACAGCAACAACACTATCAACAACAACAACAGCAACAACAACAACAACAGCAACAACATGGACCCTCGTCCACTGTGCTGCTCAGTCAATTGGTTAACTCAACTTTCTCACATGCCAATCACTCCTCTTGTTCCAATTCCAAATCCGCACGCCTAGATGCCGCCACACACCACCAACTTCAGCAGCAACAGCAGCAGCAGCAGCAGCAGCAGCAACAGCAACAGCCCCAGCTGCAGCAGCAGCAACTTTTGCACAACAGCAGCAATAGCAGCAACAGCAGCCTGACCGGCAGCGATCCGCTGAATCATCACCATCACGCACACCATCACGGCAGCATGGGGCATGGCCAACTGTTGCATACGGCACACCATTTGCATCATGGCGCCGACTCGAACTCATCCAGCGCCAACAGCACACCGAACAGCACCGCCCAGCTGGCGGCGAGCATTGCCAGCACGCTGAACGGCAACAAGTCGCTGTTGCAGGCAGCGGCCGCTGCCAATGTGGCGGCTGCCGCCGTTGCCGTTGCCGAGGACAACAACAACAGTCTGACCCCCAATGCGAACGCGGCTGTGGCCGCAGCAGCAATGGCTGCCCATGCCCAGCATGCGGCTGCTTTGGGTGCGCCCGGCTTCCTGCCCAATCTGCCCAGCCTGCCATTCCAGTTTGCGGCTGCCGCGGCCGCTGGCCAGGAGGCGCGTGCCCACTTTCGGTTCGCGGACGCCGAGCTGCAGCTGCAGCCGGGCGTTTCGATGGCGGGCCGTTTGGGTGAATCGCTGATACCCAAGGGTGATCCCATGGAGGCCAAGCTGCAGGAGATGCTGCGCTACAACATGGACAAGTATGCCAATCAGGCACTGGACACGCTGCACATCTCGCGACGCGTTCGCGAGCTGCTCTCCGTGCACAACATCGGCCAGCGTCTGTTCGCCAAATACATATTGGGCCTGTCGCAGGGCACCGTCTCCGAGCTGCTCAGCAAGCCAAAGCCCTGGGATAAGCTGACAGAGAAGGGTCGCGACAGCTACCGCAAGATGCATGCCTGGGCCTGCGATGATAATGCCGTCATGCTGCTCAAATCCCTCATACCCAAGAAAGGTGAGTGCCTAACCTTGTTGTTCGTTTTTTCGTTTTTTTTTTTTTTTTTTCGCGCTCTCTTTTGCCCAGCTAATTAGTGGCAGCCACTGCTAGTAGATATATGTATGTATGTATGTAGTAGCACAAAGCACAGCAGCTTAAAAACAGTTGACAGCCGTTGCACGCAGAGAGCGTGACAGCTGACAGTTGCTGTTTGCTATGAACTGACATATATCACTCTTAGTATGCCTGATGAGTTGAGCCACATTTTCTAGCCATCTGCCATATGAATGTGCTTTGAATTAGGCGAATAATTGATCATCTTCCATTTCATGGCATTCAGCTTTTGTCACTCACTGGTCCAAAAGCAATCGCGCTGTCAAGCCAAGCCAAGGCTTGCCTTGGCAAGCTAATATAATTATGCTCAAATATAAGCTACTGTTTCATACCACTCAGCTTTTGTCATACATTTGCTGTGGAGCAAACAGCTAACAGTTGCTACTTGCTATATCAATCTTATGCCAGGCGAGCTCATTGAAAGTTCCACTGCAGTTTCATGACACTCAGCTTTTGTCTTCTGAAGCACTGCTCGCCCACTTTGAAAATAATTTGTGATTTATTCCAACATTTCCAGTAAGCAATAAGTTCTTCTTCTTCATTTAATTGATTTGCCTAGATTTGAGTAAATATTTTGGAATTTTCGCATTGCATATTGCGCATTTCATGCCCACGTTTAACTCATTTCTCGCTTGTTTCATATTCATCTTTTCTTTGATTATTATTTTGTTTTCTTTTCATTTTTTTTTTTTTTTGTTTTTTTTTTTTCTGTTTTGCTCGTATTTTGAATACTTTCGGCTGGCGGCCTGCCAAAACATTAAAATGTGAAATTTTAATTATTTTTGATTTTTGCGTATAATCAACGTGCCAACGAGCAACAACGATGGCGACGACTGGATGCATCTCATGCAACCATTTCGCCTGTCGCCATAAATTTTCACAAATTTGCACATTAGCCGTACAACGATTTGCGAATGCAAAACACAATCGTTTCGAATACAACAAATTGTGATCTTTGGTTAACGATAGCGGCGCAAAGTTGCCCTCTGGCTGTCTGTCTGTCTGTTTGTCTGTTTGTCGTTTTGTTTGCAGTTGTCTTGGTTAAGCTTTTTATTGATTAGTCATCAATTTAATGGGCTGCCCCACAACTATGCCAGACTGCGGCTGAGCCCGACCAGCTACAAATATGTCAATGCAAAAGTATTTTTAAAGTACAAACACGCACCCCAATACCCAATACACATGCACAGCAACACACACACACACGTACACACACACACACACATGGGGCTCTCCTGGCAGCGACTTGGTAAAGTTAATCAAAGTTTTACTGTGGCTCTCTGTGTGCATAATGCACACGTGCGTGCCTCTGTGTGTGTGTGTGTGTGTGCCTAAGTGCATGCAAATGTTGACAATTAATTTATGACGATTACTCATGACAGCTAAACTAACTGTTTATATATTTATGGCTGTAGAAGGCGGGCGCTGCAATTGCTGTGAGTTTTTTTTTTTTCTCTCTGATTGAGTGTGTTTAGTGACCCGCCCCCTGCACACCCACACACACTCTCACACTTGTCCCGTTGCCCGATGTCAGTTAATTATAAGCAAATAGGCATTTAGATGCATGCCATAGAGCCGGTCATAGACACAGTTATAAAAAAAAGGGGTTTACACCCAAACAACAACAACAACAAAACTGTTGCCTAGCTCAGGGCGCAAGTTGGTTGCATACAATTTGTAAATTATTAGAATAGAAATCAGAATTATTACAAAATAACAAGCGGCAATACTTTGAAGTCGCTTTGTGGGCTAGCAAAGTTGTGCGAACTTTTTGGCGCGTCAATGATTTTTGAATTGTAATTGTTTAAAGCGAGGAACGAGCTGGAATGGAACGGGCTGAAATGGGCATGGGGCGGCGCGACGACTGCCGTGACAATTGGTCTGTGAAAGGCTTGAAACAAAATACATATACAACAGCAGCAGCAGCAGCAGCAGCAACAAAAACAACAATTAAAAACACAGCAACAACAAGAACAACAGCAGCAAACATAAAGTAGAATTAAATGTAAACAACGACAACAACAACAACAACAACAACGAAACGCAATGCAACTGCTGCCTTCAACGAGGCATGCAAAACGTTGACGTGGCGCGCGTTTGAAGTCGTCTTTGTGCCGGACAAAGTGCGCCAGCTGAGTGCTGGCCGCGGGGCGTGGCAGCGGGGGCGGAGGTGGAGGCGGAGGCGTAGACTTGGCTGGCGAGTGGGCGTGTGGTGCGGCAGCGGAGCGGGATAGCATTTGGGAGCTGGGCGCTGCAATGTGGAGTTATGCCAAGGGCGGCTACCAAACGATTGGTTTAGCAGGGGGGGGGGGGGGGGGGGGAGGGGGTGTGTCAGCAGCAGGAGGAGCAGCAGAAGCAGCAGTAGGGGCGGCGGCAACTCCAGGGTGGGAGGCAAAAAGTTTTCGCGTTTTCGGTTTGCTCTGCCGTTAATTTTGCTTGGTTTTCCTTTTTTTTCTTCTTCTGCTTCTTCTATTTGCGCTGCTATAAAACATTTGACGACAATTGTTGCATATTAAACGGCGCACGGGCAAAGCGAGTGGAAGAAGGCAACAAAAAACTATTGAAAAGTTATAAAATAACGGAAGTTTGACAAGCGATACATATGTATATACATACAAATAATAGAATAAAATGGAACTAGGTTCGCTTGCTTAGCCAAGGGATCAGTGTTATCGATTAATATATATAGACAGATAAAGGTCACCAGAATTAACGATTAATTAGAAAAATCTATAAAAATTTGAGCTGTATTTTAACGTTAGCTTTAGAATAGTTTATAATAGCTGAATTGAGTTCGTTTTATGTGTTCAGCTCCTATCGATCATTTTTATCGATTACATTTTCAAAGTACACATAGATATATAAATTTGAAACCACTGTGCAAGCACAGTGCCTGCAAGTTGACAATGTTTTTACCATGACAAACCAACACGAGTTGAGCCCGACCAAATAGAGAGGGTAAATAGTGAACGACAGAGAGGGGGAAGGAGGGTGAGAGAGAGGTAGAGAGAGGGTGAGAAGTAGTTTGAGTTTACAACAGAGTTCAACCAAGTGCCGTTTGAGTACTCAATTCAAACTGCATTTAGCATTTGTAAAAAAATACACACACACACATACACACACACACTCACAAAACTTGAAAATCGGGGCAGGGAATTAAAAAAATACAGCACACACAAAAAACAAATGGAAAAGAGAAAAGTAAATGGAAATAAAAGAGGAAAAACAAACAAAGCTCAACGTCATTTTAGCCGCGTCAGACAAGTCGTATACGTAATGGGCAATATTTGTATTTGTCGACGGCATGCGAATGTGGCCGAGGCAACTCGTTATGGCAGCTAATAATACTAGCATATTAACACATAATTTTAGCAGACGTCGTCTATTTGTTTTAGCAGCAGCAGAGCAGCAGCAGCAACAGCAGGCGAGAGAGCTATCGAAAAGTCGGGCGAAAAGTGCGTGGCCTAAAATAGAAAAGCACGCGGCAAAGAAGGCAAAACAATACAACTAGCGCACATTCAGAGAGTGGAGTGTGAGTGGCGAGGGGATGGGGGATGGGGGAATGGTGTGTGGTGTATGGTACATGGGACAGCTCTCGAACAGAAGATCGAGGAGGTAAAGACAAAAGCATTCCAAATGCCAAACAGACAGAAGACAAAACGCTGCCAGGCACTTTTATTTGCCGCCGTTTCACAAATTATTTGTCACCAGCCATAAAGCGAAATATGTGAGGCACACACGCACACACACACACACATGCACACATAGCCTGACTAAGTGGCCAACGGGGCGTATCAATTCCTGCGCTTTTTGGCCTCAAATTTAAGTAGTTTTTTTTTTTGTTTTTTCGCTTTGATTGTAATTTATTTTATTTGATTTTGTTGAAAATTGCTTTATGTGTGTGGGGCTGGCGGGGCGTGGCCGCCGCAAGAAAATATAATAAACATAAATTAGCATACCGCGCGCACAACTGAATTTCTTTAATAATATAATAAGAAACCAAAGTCAAACAAAAAGGAATTCGTATATTCTTATGAAGAAAGAAATGGGCTATACTAAATCTTCGATGGCTTAGTCAATGAGTCAGCATGTTGAATCGTTGTCGCAATCCAAGTGACAGAGCACAAAGCGCACATAAATAAATACATGTAAATGTATAGGTATACATGTATATAAAACAATT